GCGCAATCGAGCAGGGACCTGTCGTGCAGCCAATCAGCAGTTGCCAGGTCGATTAAGCGAGACCTGGCAACTCCTGATTGGCCCGCACACAGGCGGCCGCGAACAGCGCTAATTCCCCCCCCCACTTCAATCCTGTAGCAACCAGCACTACGCCACGGCAGAGACACCATCGCCACGATCATCAATAAATCATCATACCACCTAGATCTCGTTAAGCACATACTCTGGCTAACAGTACGAGCATCTGACAACACTATAGCAATCTAAGACACTAAGTAATACATACAAGTTTAGGTCTTAATCTAAGCTTATAAGCAACTCCTTCTAACAATTGCTAAGTGCAGCATATAAGGGGTTCTTAAAGCTTATAAAAGGGGCTAAAGAGATACTATATAAAAATGTCCTTATTAAGGCCTGCGTGCAAGAGCTTAAAGAGCAATTAGCAGTAATAACTAAGAGAAAATTGCGTAAGAGAAAGTATATTTAGCATAGTGGCACACTTAAGTATAGCCTAGCAGTATTGCAGGTAGCTACTAAGGCGTGTGTAGCAGCTTAGCTATCTAAGAAGACTTAGGGTAGAGGTAGTTAACTAGGAGCTTAGTCAACTGTTTAGCGCTGTAGGAACTACAGCAAGACTAGACACAACGCACAAACGTGCTAGGAGGGTGTAGAAACATCTTCTTAATCTAATGCAAGTATACAGTATACTAGATTACTGTTTAATAGTAAGTAGTTGTAGTTGTAGTAACTTGTGTTAGTCGTGCTAAGAGAAAATGGCTAGTTTAGTGATATGGCTATCTCGGTGATAATCTACGTTAAGCAACTCCTTCTAATAATTACTAAGTATAGAATAACGTACCTCACGGGCGAGTGGCCGGCCCGGGCGAGTGACCGGATTTTGCCAAGACCACACCAAACTTCATACAACCCGCGATGTCTTAACGCAAAAAGGCTTAAAGTGTCTTAAAGGAACTAGATATACAGCTTGCAATCTAGGCTCTTAAACAAGACACAACTCTTACTATTCTACGTGCTGCAATAATCTACAAGGTGTTAGAAAGAATGCTTAGACAATAATGTGCTAGAATACTCTTAAGATATAATTATAACGTACTCCACAAGCATGCCGGTCACCCAAGTGTGCCGGTCACTTTTGCCAAGACCACACCAACACTATAACTACTTTGCAGTACTATAGTACACAGCAGCATTCTACTATGCTACACAGTATATTATACTAATCTATAGTACTTTACGCATCTTTCTTATAAGTTGTTCTATTGTGCCCTGTCTTGCCACATGTGCCACAGCGCCTTAAAGACTAAGTGCTCCTATTAACGCGTGACCTCTTCTTTACCTTCTTCCTATTACTACAGGCCTTAAACTCCTTTAGAGTAGTTAGCTACACTCCCTTAGCAAAGGTTAGAGTCCCTTCTTGCTATACTTGCTTCCTTTTGTGTAATTTACAACGTGTAGCAGCCTTATTAGCTGCCTGTAGGTCAGCAACCTGGTTACGCACTAAAACTAGTAAATGCGCCATTAGCTCTGCGCCTTTAGTAAGCTAATTAAGAGCGTTAACTATAGACGTTGGCAAGCTATTAGTGTGTCTCTAAATCCTCTCTTAAATTAGCTTTAATTAAGACCTAAATTCTAGGGTGTTACTTAGTATTTTAGACTCCTACATACTATTGTCCACAGTAGGTAGCGTTAGCGTGCACAGCTATACTTTAAGCTTTAATAGCACAGCCTCTAGGTTAAGTAGGACTAGGCCAGCACCTCTAAATCCTCTGTAGATATTACTCTCTGTAATTAAGGCGTCAAAAGCTGCTTTAAAGCACAGCAAGAACTCAAGTTTAGTGATACGCGTAATCTTGCTGCGCATTAGCTGCTCAGCTTAGCGGCCATAGGCCTTCTTTAACAGGGCAAAACAGCCTACGTTAAGTAGCTGCAGTAGGTGCAACAAGTGTGGAGGCATACACAGGGTAATAATCTTGTGTTCCTTGCAGTACTAGTAGAATTCAACTAAGTTGTAGCTCTTGTGGCCGTCCAGAATAAGCAGCTGATAGCTGCCAATAGTGCGCGCCTTTGTGTGCTTATTAAAGTGCTTTAACTACTTAACTCTAAGCTTATTGTTAGTCTAGCTATTGTTAGAGATATTAAGAACCTAGTTATTAGGTATACTAGGCTCCTTGTACTAGGCAGAGAGGTGGTGCTTGCTAGAGAAGATAATAAAGGGTGGGATAGACTAGCCCTTCGCGCAGATGCCTTAGATAATGCTGGTCTACTCTTAGTCGCCCTGCTACACTGTCTTTAGTCTCCCTTAATGCTTAGAGCCTATAACAACAGCTCTTGTTAATATAATGCCTATTATAAAGCTAGATTTGTTAAAGTTGTAGGTGTCTTTATCTTGTATACTATACTTAGCTTTAGTATTCTCTACTAGTTAGAACTAGTCCCTAATTACCTTAGGATCCTTACATAGAGCTCTCTTATAGTTGTACTTATAATTAAATTTAACTTTAAGCTCTAGCTGATGTTTAACAAAGTTGGTAGCCTAGTTCTTGCTAACGTAGGGCTGGTGGCGCTCAGCAAGCAGAGAATTGGCCATATCCTCTACATCAGCAAGCTGGGGCGAGTATCCTCGCTTGTCTAGCCTCAACACGTGCTGGACAATTACCTCCTCTTTGTTCTTTGTAAGATTTATAGTATTAGGTGTGTAGTCGCAGCGTGGGGTGGCTCCAGCAAGTCGGTCACTAAGCGTGCTTTAAGAGACGTTGTAGATTGCTGCAGCGCGTCGCTGAGAGAGCGTCGCGTCTTGTTAGATAGCCTGGAGAGCAAGCTGTATGTCTGCTTCATTAGAGAGCTTTTTCATGTTGCTGCGTTAAGGCATTGTTAGTAGAGTGAAGTTTGGTGTGGTCTTGGCAAAAGTGACCGGTACACTTGGGTGACCGGCATGCTTGTGGAGTACGTTAAGGTTAACTTAGTAAAGCTAACAAGCACTAAAGAGGAGGTGATTGTGCAGCATGTTCTGAAGCTAGACAAGCAAGGATACCCACCCTAGCTTACTAATGTAGAGGATATAGCTAACTCTCTACTTACTAAGCGCCACTAGCCTCCTGTTGTAGTAGTCTGGCCAAAGGCCAATAAAGGATATCTACTTCCTAACAACTTTTGCTAAAAAGCATGCACAAGTTAACTAGACATCTAGTTAACTGCGTAGATAATATATATCTAGCTTAAGCCAAGCCGGCTAAGCTAATGTAACCGGCTAGCTCTAGCTCTTCTTTAGCTTAAGAGTCTAGACCGTTACACCTGTTAGCAAGAACTAGGCTAGCACGTTTATTAAGCGTCGCCTAGAGCTTACAGTCAAGTTTAATTAAAAGTACAACTACAAGACAGCCCTCTGCGAGGATCCTAAGGTGATCTAGGGCTAGTTCTGCCTAGTAGAGAATACTAAAGCTAAGTATAGTATCCTAGACAAAGACACCTATAATTTTAACAAGTCTAGGTTTATAATAAGTATTATATTAACAGGAGCTATTGTTACAGGCTAAGAGTGTTGTAGAAGACTAAATACAGTACAGCAGGGCGACTAAGAGTAGACCAGCATTATCTAGGGTATTAACCCTAACCAGGTCGCAGAGCTTCAAGCTGCCAATGAGGCCGCCACACGCCATAAATCACACAAGAGGAAGCAGATCTAGAGGGGGGGGGACTCTTACTGTTAGTAAAGGAGTGTGCTTAACTACCCTAAAGGAGTTTAAAGCCTGTAGTAATAGGAAGAAGGCAAGCAAGAAGAGGTGTGTTAAACTAGGCACTTAGTCTTTACAACGCTGTAGTAGGTGTAGTAAGGCAGGGTATAACACGCGAACGTGCATAAAAGATGCGCAAGATACTATAGATTAGTGCTGTATACTGTAAGTTATAGTAACTTGCAGTAACTTGCTGTAATATGCAAGAGAAGTTGAAGTTTGGTGTGGTCTTGGCAAAATCCGGTCACTCGCCCGGGCCGGCCACTCGCCCGTGAGGTACGTTAAGAAGAGTTCTTAAAGCTTATAAAAGGGGCTAAAGAGATGCTGCACAAAAATGTCCTTATTAAGGCCTGCGTGCAAGAGCTTACAGAGCAATTAGTAGTAATAACTAAGAGAAAATTGCGTAAGAGAAAGCAGATTTAGCATAGTAGCATACTTAAGTATGGCCTAACAGCATTGTAGGTAGCTACTAAGGTGTCTGTAGCAGCTTAGCTGTCTAAGAAGACTTAGGGTAGAGGTAGTTAACTAGGAGCTTAGTTAACTATTTAGTGCTGTAGGAACTATAGCAAGACTAGATATAACATATAAACGTGCTAGGAGGGTATAGGAATATCTTCTAAATCTAATATAAGCACATAGTATGCTAGGTTACTATTTAATAGTAAGTAGTTGTAGTTATAGTAACTTGTATTAGTTGTGCTAAGAGAAAACGGCTAGTTTAGTGATATGGCTGGCTTGGTGATAATCTACGTTACTGTGAAGTGTGGAGTTGTGTTGGTCTTTGCAGATTTTGACTGGTTCATTGATATAACCAGCTCGGTGATAGAGTACGTTAAGAAGCAGCAGGGCAGCTTACTAAATTCTGTGCTAAGCGCGCTTGAGCACTACGCAAAGGGAGGAGCAATTCTATTGCACAAGCTGGTTTTAGCATAATAAGAGAACGCTGAGCTTCACGCAGCTCTAGCAGCTGCTACAGAACGTAAATTGCGCAAAAGAACGCGTGTCCAAGCAGGGGGAAGCCTTACAGTTAAAGAAGGCTAGCGGTTGACTGCTCTGAAGGAGTTTAGCGCGCGTAGTGATGGAAAGAAGGGTAAGAGGCAGGTGCGCGCTAAAGGAGGTGAATTATCCTAACAACGCTGTAGATGGTGCAGAGAGGGTAAGCACAACGCGCAAACATGTAAGAATAAAGCAGAAGAGGTCTCTAAATAATATTACAGCTTGTTTTGCCTTATGCAGTGCTAGTTTGTGGTGTTTTAGGCCATAATAGGGTGAGTTTTGGTGGGGTCTTGGCAAAAGTGCGCCGCTTGCCCGTGAGGTACGTTAGACAACTTCTTCTTCTAGTTGCATTGCAACTTTCTCTTTAAGGGCATTGCTTAGTCCTGGCATGGTGTTAAGTTATTACGCGTTGAAATCTGGTGTAGATGTTACGCGCCGGGCGTTCGGTGACTCCGGGCGTTCGGTGCACGGACACGGTACGCGCTGCCAACCAAAACAAAGCACCAAACCACACAACACCCGCCAGCAACGCAACCATGTCTTGACACTCGCGACATGTCGAGCACCAAGATTGTGGAAATCTGGCTCAAATCTACAGATGAGGCTCACTGTCCCCCGACTCCTCCGCCAGAACACGTGGTTGTGCCGCACACTCACACACTCAAGCGTAAGCGCGCCATGTCCCTTCCTGCGAATGCATCTGGCCCCCAGTCTCATCGAGGCGAAAGCCCCAAGCGGCGCAGAGTCGACGATGTCGAGGACATTGAGCCTGCACAAAGCGCGTCGCAACTGGGAAGCGAGAGTTTGCTGCCTCTCAGGGACAGCAACACATTTCCACCACCGGCTAGTCGCGCTTCCTCCAGCCTCTCGCGTGCCCGTAGTCCGACACGCGAATCGCCCCTCGTACTGAAGAGCGCGTCGCCGCCAGTGCTGGCTGAGAGCCTCAACGGCCTGCAAGAACCCCCGCCTCAACATGTTGACCAACTCGGCGACTATCTCGCTGCGGGCGTCGACTTGCACTTCATTCCCCAGGGCCTGAAGGTACGGTGCACATGGTCAAGTCCCCTGCTTCCCGGGCTTAGTTGATGGTCATGTAGCATACTATCAAGGACGACTCCGATGTGGGCCACCAGACCACCAAGCCTGCAGACTTCGCTCCTGTCGATTCGCGCTCTGCCGACGAACTGTCTGCAATATGGAGGAAAGTGAAGACAATATTTCTTAATGCACGCGACTGCAAAGACGGTGGTCGAGATGAGAATGCCTGGTGCGATGATGTATTCCGGCCGTTGCTCAATCTGGCCATAGAGCTGTACGGCAAGGACCGATGGTGGCTTCAAAGCGTGTGAGTAGACAACTTCCACTCTACCCCACCCGAGACCAAGACCAAGACCACTAAGACGCCACAGGCAATCGCAGTCGATCGACCCCCGTTACCTGTCGACCGTCACCGCTCGTGGCCCCACCGATGCCCGGCGCAAAACTATCGACCGCAAGACCGATTACGTCCTCTCATACTCGCATCGTCACCCAGCTACCTCGGCACTCTATAAACGGCTTGAAGAAGCAAATATGGGAGATGTTGGGCATACCATGGACGCGTTCACCAAGCGGACTGCCCTTTTCTCTGGCTTCGAAATAAAGCCTGCTTCCGGCGATCAAACCGAGGCCGAATTGCAGATCAGCATATGGTCAGCTGCGTCTATCCGCAAGAAGCAGGAACTTGCAAGCTTGGCTCAGCTTTCCATCGAGAACGCAGCAATGGTCGAACCCATGTTCACTATTGTTGGACACGAACACCATGTTTACTATTGTTATCCCCGCAACAATCTCGTTTCGGGAAGAAGCGGTGTCCACGTGCTTGGACCAGACCTTGATCGATTTGAACGACTTAGTACGGATTCTGTGCGCGGAATCTTTCGACTGCTCAGACTGTATAGAAATGTTCTGGCTTACGGAATGGACGAGGAAGATAATCGGTATTGGGGCGGGGTTCTTGGGAAAACGTTGACCCGGCTAGCTGGAATGTCTGAGGTGAATACGGGTCAGCCTGGTTGAAATGATCCTGCATCAAAAGCTGTACAAGCTTGTCTTGCTTGTCTTGCTTCCACAACAGCACAAGACCAGTGTCCAGCTCAAAAGCCCACAGCACAATGTCGCTACACCATGATGAAGCACGCTCAGCTGTTCAGACTGCTTGCACTGCAACATCTACTCGCACCATGGCACGTGCACAGCGCCCCATCTTGTAGTCTGTTTCTGTGTCACTGTCAACACCATTCTTGATGATGATTGAGTCCTCATTTCAGCTACAACACGCGCCAGACCCTCGATTTGCCAATGGTCCCGACTGGAACGCTGCCCTTGACTAGCGTCGCTTCAAAGTGACCAGACAGACAAATCAATCACTGAAAAAGGGGTCCCTTTACTTTCAAGGCGTCAATGTCTACAGTGGGGCACCTGCACCTGCGGAATATTATTGCGAGAAATTCTCCGTCTGATCGTGTCTTTGTATACAGAGGTTCGAACGTTCAACACTAGCAGCCACTAACGCAAATCTTATCCAGCAATGCGCTGCAGCACTCTACAACGCTCCTCAAAGTACACTTAGAAGACAACTTGTTAGTTTTATTAAAGTTATAACGTAGATTATCACCAAGCTGGCCATATCACTGAACTAGCCACTTTCTCTTAGCACAACTACCTTTTACCCTAATATAACATGCCTTAATAACAACAACTTTAGAATACTACTAGAGAAGGCAGAGTTATCCTTACTATCTAGGCCTTCTATGTTAGCTAATTTTGTAGTATCTGCAGCACTGCTAGAGCGTTGAACGTACCTTATTAGCAGGTCTCTAATCACCTTTGCAATATTATGTTTTAACTAGATATACACACTAATTACTAGAAACTTACTATACTAGAGGAGCAGACAATTGTCTAGTATATACTTAACCTTAATTTGCAAGGATTTACGCCCTAGCTATATAAGGTAGTAGATATAGCTAATAAGATACTTAGTGTGCGTAGTAAAGAGCCTGTTAGTAAACTATAGGCTAGCAGGCTTATAACACGTTTAGACAAGCTTAAAATAGCCTTTAATTAAGCTAAGGATACATAGAGGATACTATAGGAAGATCCTAAGATAATTAGTATATAGTTTAAGCTAGTAGAGGATACTTAAGTTAAGTATAGTATTTATAATAATAATATAACGTGCTTCACAAGCGAGCGGCGCACCCAAGCGAGCGGCGCACTTTCTCCAGCGCAGCGCACGCACCACGACGTAGTGCAACACCATCACAAATTCCTATAATATACGTAACAGGATAATATTATTTATAAGCATTGCTATTATCTACATCCTCTATTTCTACCTTGCAGGTGCAGGAGTTATGCCTAATCTTGCTGCAACAGCTGCAGCGCCTCTCTGCGCGCACCCTCTTTGCAGGCGTCTTGCTATCCTTACAACTACTACCCTCCTTTTTAGTAATTAAGTTAGATACCTTACTAACTATTAGGGTCTCCTCTACGCGTATATACTGCCTCTTATAGGTCTTGTGCTTTATAAGTGTATTAACAGTGTCTTAAAGGTAGCCTATTTCCTCCTATACTAACACTATATTATAAGCTATCTGCTAAGTGCCTTTACTTAGCTACTTAACCTGCTTATCTAATAAACTTGCTAGAGACTCCTAATAGTTTTGTATGCGATTTTAAATTAGTGTGGATTGCGCCTCTATCTTGCAGGCGTTGCGCGGTGTTTGCGCCTCCTAGGCAACCGTGCCTGGTGCAGGTGGCGTTGGCGTGCGCAGCTGTACATCAAGCTTTAATAACACAACCTTAGGGTTATGTAGGACTAGTCTAGCGCCTTAAAACCCTGCGCAAATATTCTCTAGTGTAAACATCTTCTTAAAAGCTACTTTAAAGGCTAGGAGGAAGGTTTCTTTGTTAATATAGTAGATGCGGCTGCGTGCTAAGAGCAAGATCCTGTTACTGTAGTAGCGCTTTAACAGCGAGTAGGGGGCAACGTCAAGAGGCTGCAGGATGTGTGATGAGTGTGGTGGCATGCAGAGAGTGATAATCTTGTTCTCCTTGCAGTAGTCCTGGAATTCTATTAAGCAGTAGCTCTTATAACTGTTAATAATAAGCAGCCTATACACTATAGCAGGGGACGCCTTTGTATAGATGTTAAAATGCTTAAGCTATGCCAGCATGATGTTGTTATTAGTCTAGCTAGTAGGAGAGACTATAATAACCTAGTTATAAGGTAGACTAGTAAACTAGGAGGAGATAAGGACCTTGCCTGTAAAGATAAGGAAGGGTAGGATTATATACCCTGTTATAGTAACACCTTATACTAGGGTAACCTACTTATAATTGCTAGGTTATAGTTTCTTCTATCTCCTAGGTTTCTCTAAGCCTATAATAATAAGCTAAGAGGATATCTTGCCTATTATAAAGCTAGACTTATTAAAGTTCTAGGTGTCCTTATCTATAATACTATACTTTGCCTTTGTTAATTAAACTAGGCTGAACTATGGCCAGATAATCGCTAGGTCCTTGCAGGCAGCTCGCTGGCGATCATACAGACGGCTCTATCGCGTTCGCAGCTCTAGTGTACGCTTAATGAAGTTATTAACCTAGTTCTTGCCTGTAGGCTTCCTACCACGCTCTCTTAGCAGTCTATTAGCTATATCTTATACGTGCACCTTTAAGGGCAGTATTCTACATAAACTCTCTTTAAGTATACACTGTATAATTGCCTCCTCTTCTAGCTTTGTAAGGTGTTTTAATTTTATCTTATAATTATATTAAGAGTGTGTTCTATTGTGTTATTATTATATTGTAGTTTAAGGGACCTTATAGACTTTCTTAGCAAGCTGTATACTCTTAATCTGCTCTTTTTAAAGATCTAAGTTAGCAAGCTGTACGTCAGCTTCAGTATAGAGTCTCTGGGTTTGGTGTTGTTGAGGCATTACGTGTTGTCGCTGCGCAAGCGTTTTGGTGGGGAGAGTGCGCCGCTCGCTTGGGTGCGCCGCTCGCTTGTGAAGCACGTTATATAACTTTAATAAAACTAGGTTCTAGATAGGTGTTGCTTTGTCTTTAAAGGTTGTAAATAGGCTTAGAGAGACGTGTTTAGCTAGAGCTTGTTTAGCTAGGCAATTGCGAGTAGGTTACTGTTATCTAGAGCATCTACACTACTAGGTATACAACCCCACCTTTTATTATCTACAAAGGACGTGTCTATATCTCTGCCTAGTATAAGGAGACAGATATACCCTACAATTAGAAGCTCTTAGTCTCTAAGAATAGCTAGACAAATAACATGCTTAGCCTTAAGTAACGTGAGTGTATAGCGAGTCGGACAGCTAAGCGAGTCGGACACCCTAACAAGCTATTAGGCCTACTATCTGCAATTGCTTAACACCACAACGCAGCAGTGCAATCTATAGTAGATAATATTAATTGCTAACGTCTACTATGTCTTTCTTACACGTGCGCAAATTGTGCCCAGTCTCTCTACAGCGCCTACAGTGCCCTTTACCCCTCTTGCTTGCACCTGTTCGAACTCTACCCTCACAACTCTCCCCTTTAACCTGCGCCTCAACGTCGTGTTGGGCTATTAAGTCCTCTGCCTCTTCCTTTAACAGATCTCTGCCCTTCTGAATACGCTTTCTTTTCCGTGATTTGCGCTCAGAGGCTGCTTTATTTGACGCTTCAAGCTGCAGCACTCGGGCTGCCAATAACGTCTGCCCATGCAGCAGCATTGCCGTGCCTCTCTGCAGCTGATCAACGATCTCAACCATTGGAGTTAGTAACAATCCTTAGTGCTTTTAAATACAATCGCGAAGCAGCGTTAATTAAGCCTCTATCTTACTAGCGTTGGTAGGTGTCTTAGGGTTCTATTGGGGCTCCCCTAAGAGAGGCGGCGTTGGTGTGCAAACCTTAACATTAAGCTTTAATAGTACTACTAATAGGTTACTAGGCACTAAGCCAGTTGCTCTAAAGCTTAACAGGATATTTGCCTTTAAAAACGCCTTGTCAAACACCTTTGCAAAGGTTGTGAGAAAGGCTTTCTTGTCAATCTAGCCAATATGGTCTAGTGCTAAGACTCTAATCTCTTTGCTGTACGCCCGCTTTAAGGGGGCAAAACAACCCACATCAAGTGGCTGTAGGATGTGAGATAAGTGCAGAGGCATACACAGGGTAATTATCTTATTCTCCTCGCAGAGATTCTGGAAGGCAAGCGACTTGTGGCTCTCATGGCCGTCAATTATCAGCAGCACGTGGCTACCCACCCTCCAGCCCTGAATCTGCTTAACAAAGTGCCTTAGCCAGGCTACACTAATGTCGTTCGTAGTCCAGCTGTTGTTACTAACCCTAATGCGCCATTAGGGCTTTAAATCAGGGTACCAAGACGCGTTGTGGTTCTTTGCTTTGAAGATAAGGTAGGGCGCAATTGCCCAGCCCATCGCGTTGATTGCAGCAATTAACGTCACCCACTCACGGTCTCCCTGCTGGACTCTAATGGGATCCGTGCGTCTCTCTGATGCAGTGACTACTTTGACGCGATTTCCAATGCCTATAGTAAAGCCAGTCTTGTCAAAGTTATAGGTATCTTCGTCCTAGATGCTGTACTTGGCCTTAACGTTCTGTACCAGGTCAAACCAGGGTCTAATGACCCCTTGGTCGCTGCAAAGGACTCTCTGGCGATCCCTCTGTCAACTCATACGTGATTGGAGTCCAGGTTCGCGTTTAACAAAGTTTAAAGCCCATCGCGGACCGACAGGTCCTGCGTCACGTGCAGCGCGCAGTTGGTTAGCCATAGCTTCAACCCAATAGAGCGTTGGGGCATGCCCTTGCTCGTCAAGCTTCCTAATATACTGCGCAAGCGTCTGCTCTTCTGTCTTAGTCAGAGCTGATGATTTGGGGTGGGTATCGCGTGTTGACTGCTTCCCGGCGCGTTGGTCTTGGAGAGTCGATTTTGGCACTTTGTAGACGTCAGCAGCGCGTCGCACGCTGAGATTTTGGGGATTCTTTGTTGCTTAGAGTGCAAGCTTAACCCTATCTTCTTTTAGGAGCAATTCAAGGTTGGGTGGTTAATCTATTGTGGTTTAAAGGTTGGTAGGCTTAACAGCTTGTTAGGGTGTCCGACTCGCTTAGCTGTCCGACTCGCTATACACTCACGTTAGTTAAAGCACTTTAACATGCATATAAAGACATGTTAGGTAGGAGTGTACAGGTTGCTTATCTTAGACAGCTATAAGAGCTATCTTTGTAAAGAAAGTAGGGGAAGGACTAGACTACTTTCCTCCTAGTCTAGAAGGACCTCGACAAATCTAGACTAGCTTTGTCTAAATAGGAAGCGTATAGCCTAATAAAGGTAAGGTAGGGTTATGTTATATAATAGACAAGTTATTATATTAGATAATAGGTAGAGATTCCTAGACTAGGTACAGGGCAAATAGAGGGGGGAGAGCTAGAGGTATTTATGCTTCCTCTCCTCTGTCTGTATTTCTAAGCAGAACGTTCTAGACTCCTCTAGGTAGGTCTACTTTATAATCTATGCTTAGTATTACTGTATATGCAAGCAAGATTATGTAGGTGCATGCGTAATTGTATACGTTAGTATCTTATAGAGTAGGCTACTCTATTTATAAGTATAAGAGCCATAATTTAGTTTAGTTCTACTAGTACTATAAAGAACACAAGATTGTTACCTTATGTATACCTCTACACTTATTGCACCTATTGCAGCTACTTAACATAGGTTGTTTTGCCCTAATAAAGAAGGCCTATAGTTACTAAGCTAAGCTGCTAATGCGTAATAAGATTACTTGTATTATAAAACTTAAGTTTTTACTATGCTTTAAAGGAGCTTCTAATGCCTCTATTACTAAGAGCAATATCTAGGGAGGATTTAGAGGTGCTAGCTTAGTCCCCTTTAATCTAGAGGCTGTAATATTAAAGCTTAAAGTGCACCTATGTATTCTACTACTATCTACTATAGATAAGAGTATGTAGCACTCTTAAACCCTATAGAACACCCTAGAATTTAGGTTTTGATTAAAGCTTATTTAAGAGAGGATTTAATAACAACCTAAACTATCACCGAGTGTCCTACATCACTGAGTGTCCCAAAATCTCTTGGCAGCCTCAACCTATGCTACAACTCCTTAATTTTATTGCTATTAAACAGGGAGCCTGCGTATGTTGTACTAGCATCTAATTCTAAGGACACCTCTATATCCTTTTTACACATTTGCGCATTATGCCTAGTCCTACTGCAGTTCCCACAGCGCTAAAGAGCTAGTTAGGCTAGTTCTTGACCACTACTACCACAAGCCTTCTTAGATCGCTGAGGCGCTATAGATGCCTCAGCAGCTACCTGCGCTGCAGCAGTCCCATACTCTATAGTACCACCCTGCTGAATCCACTTGCGCTTACGCGATTTTTGCTTAGTTATCTCTGCTAATTGCTCTTCAAGCTCATAGATCTAAGCACGTTGAAGCGCATTTTTATGCAGCATTAGCTCACCACCTTTTATAAGCTGGGAGAAACTAGCCTAAGCTGTAACAGGCAAGCAAGTAAAGGAATTGCGTACAAGCTTTAATTAAGATCTAAATTTAACGTGTTTCACAAGCGAGCGCCGCACCCAACCGAGCGCCGCACTTTCAACAACAGAACGCCTGCGCAGCGCTATATCACAACACAACACAAATAAATAATTATTTACAGGCCTAGATAGTATTATTTAGAAGCTTTACTATTATCTATATCCTCTATTTCTACCTTATAAGTGTAGGAATTGTGTCTAATCTTACTACAACGCCTATAGTATTATCTAACACACACCCTCTTTATAGGTGTCTTACCCTTACTATAACCCCTACCCTCCTTTTTAGTAATTAAGTTAGCTACTTTACTAACTATAAGGGTCTCCTCTATATATATATATTATTGCTTATAGGTCTTGTACTTTATAGATGCTTCTATAGTGTCTTAAAGTTAGCCTATTTCCTCCTACATTAACACTATATTATAAGCTATCTGCTAAGCACCCTTTCCTAACTATTTCACCTACTTATCTAATAAACTTGCTAGAGACCCCTAATAGATTTAAATCTGCTTTTAAATTAGAGTTAACTACTCCTCTACTTTGTAAGCAGTGCGTGGTGTCTTTAGCTCCTAGGCAATGTTGCTAGGTTTTAGTGGCGTTGGCGTGCGTAGGCGCACATTAAGCTTTAATAACACCACCTCTAGGTTGTGTTAGACTTGCCTAGCACCTCTAAAGCCTGCGCAAACGTTCTCTCTAGTAAACACCTTACTAAACACTAATTTAAAGGCTAGCAGGAAGGTTTCCTTATTAATATAGTAGATGCAACTGCGTGCAAAGGCCGAAACCTTGTTGCTATACAGGCGCTTTAGTGGCGAGAAGCAGGCAACGTTAAGTGGCTGCAACAGGTGTGATAAGTGCAGGGGCATACAGAGAGTGATTATCTTCTTCTCTCTGCAGAGATCTTAGAAAGCCACTAAGCAGTAGCTCTTATAGCTGTTAATAATAAGTAGCTAGTAGACCCTAACTAGCTTCGCATGCGTATTAAAGTAGTAGAGCTAGGCAAGCGCTAGATTATTGTTAGTCTAGCTAGTAGGACTAATATTAATAACCTAGTCCTATAGGAGGTCCTTAGTAAACTAGTTAGAGATAATAACCTTACCTGCAAGGATAAGGAATAGTAGGATAACCTTCTCTGTTAACCTAACACCTTATACTAGGGTAACCTACTTATAATTACTAGGTTAGATCTTCTTCTACTTCCTAGGCTTCTCTAAGCCTGTTACTACTAGCTATAATAATATCTTGCCTATTAGGAAGCTAGACTTATTAAAGTTGTACATATCCTTGTCTATAATACTATACTTTGCCTTTATAGACTGAACAAGCGTGAACTAGGGCTAGATAACTGCTAGGTCCTTGCAGGCAGCCCGCTGGCAATTGTATGGGCGGGTCTACTGCTTCTAGAGCTCTGGTGTACGCTTTACTAAGTTGTTAACCCAGTTCTTGCTAACAGGCTTTGCGCCGCGCTCTCTTAGCAGTTTATCTGCTATATCTTGTACGTCTGCCTTTGAGGAGGGTAGGCCACACGCAGATTCCTTAAGTATACGTAGTATAACTGCCTCCTCTTCTAGCTTTATAAGGCGCTTTATATTTAGCTTATAGTTATGTTAAGAGCGTGTTCTGTTGTATTAGTATTAGATTATTTATTTAGGCACTTTATAGACTTTCTTAGCATGTTAGATACTTTAAATTTAGTTTCTTAAGATATTAGATATAGCAAGCTGTACATCAGCTTCAGTATAGAGTGTAGGAGCTTGTTGTGGTTGAGACATTACGCGCTGTTGTTGCGCCGGCGTTCTGGCAGCGAGAGTGCGGCGCTCGGTTGGGTGCGGCGCTCGCTTGTGAAACACGTTATAGGTATTGCTTAGAGTCTTTAACTGCTATAGCGTCTCTAGGAGGAGGGGTTCTAGCAGGGTACGCAGCTGCACTTTAAGGCGATCTAATACAACTAGCCCTGCTGCCTTAAAAGCCTTTTAATAGTTCTGCTCTATAAACATGTTAAAAAACACGTCCTTAAAGGGAGGGAGGAAGCCTTCTTTGTTAATATAGAAGACGCGTTAGCGTGCTAAGTCTCTAACGCGCTAGGAGTACCTGCGCTTTAGCAGTGAGAAGCAGACCACATCAAGCAGCTAGAGGATGTGCGATAAATAGGGGGGCATACAGAGTGTTACATCGGGAAAAGTTTTTCCATTGTCGAAATTAGGAAATCATGGCATTATACTGTGGGCAACAGTAGGACTTGTAGGCCTACAACAGTCATTCAATGTGCATTCAATGTCTAGCTAATTTTAAGCTAATAGCTCTAACAGTCTTAACAGCTGCAATGGCCACAACAACTCCTAATCCTGCTACAATAGTAGCTCTGCTTAATAAACTATACTTTTATTATATTAATATAACGTGTTTCACAAGCGAGCGCCGCACCCAACCGAGCGCCGCACTCTCGCTGCCAGAACGCCGGCGCAACAACAGCGCGTAATGTCTCAACCACAACAAGCTCCTACACTCTATACTGAAGCTGATGTACAGCTTGCTATATCTAATATCTTAAGAAACTAAATTTAAAGTATCTAACGCACTAAGAAAGTCTTTAAAGTGCCTAAATAAATAATCTAACACTAATACAATAGAACATACTCTTAACATAACTATAAGCTAAATATAAAGCGCCTTACAAAGTTAGAAGAGGAGGCATTTATACTACATATACTTAAGGAATCTGCGTGTGGCCTACCCTCCTTAAAGGCAGACGTACAAGATATAGCAGATAAACTGCTAAGAGAGCGCGGCGCAAAGCCTGTTAGCAAGAACTGGGTTAACAACTTAGTAAAGCGTACACCAGAGCTCTAGAAGCAGTAGACCCGCCCATACAATTGCCAGCGGGCTGCCTGCAAGGACCTAGCAGTTATCTAGCCCTAGTTCACGCTTGTTCAGTCTATAAAGGCAAAGTATAGTATTATAGACAAGGATATGTACAACTTTAATAAGTCTAGCTTCCTAATAGGCAAGATATTATTATAGCTAGTAGTAACAGGCTTAGAGAAGCCTAGGAAGCAGAAGAAGATCTAACCTAGCAATTGTAAGTAGGTTACCCTAGTACAAGGCGTTAGGTTAATAGGGAAGGTTATCCTACTATTCCTTATTCTTATAGGTAAGGTTCTTCTCTCTAACTAGTTTACTAAGGACCTCCTATAGGACTAGGTTATTAATATTAGTCCTACTAGCTAGACTAACAATAATCTAGCGCTTACCTAGCTCTACTACTTTAATACGCATGCGAAGCTAGTTAGGGTCTACTAGCTACTTATTATTGACAGCTATAAGAGCTACTGCTTAGTGGCTTTCTAAGATCTCTGCAGAGAGAAGAAGATAATCACTCTCTGTATGCCCCCGCACTTGTCGCACCTGTTGCAGCCACTTGACGTCGCCTGCTTCTCGCCACTAAAGCGCCTGTATGGCGACAAGGTTTTAGCCTTAGCACGCAGTCGCATCCACTATATTAACAAGGAAACCTTCCTGCTAACGTGGTTTATCACCGAGCCGCCAGGTATCACCGAACCGCCACCCCTTGCCAATTTTGCGACTGTTACAATAATTATTACAATGCTATTATAACACAACACGCAATCACCCTATAATAAAGGTACACTATACCTTACTATCTAAGCTACAAAAGCTACTGTGCCTAACAGTATAAAACACACGTCTAAGGCCTTTAGTGTTCCCTAATTAATATTAAGAGACTAACGCGCAGGAGGGCTTACACAACGCAATTATAAGGCTAATTTAAAGAAGCTAACAAAGGTAGAAGAGGAGGTAATAGTTAACTATATACTTAAGCTAGACAGGCAAGGAATAGGCACAACAAAGACTATAGTGCAAGATATAGCTAATAATCTGCTTGCTGCACGTAGTGAAGGACCTGTTAGTAAGCTCTAGGTAAACAGGTTTAACACGTGTACCTAACAAATTAAGCTTTAATATAGCTAACTGTATAATTATTAATAAGCTCTAAATAAAGATACACGCGTTATAACACCCTAGTTTAAGCTAGTTAGGAATACAAAGGAGAAGTATAGAATCCTAGATAGAGATACCTATAACTTTAATAAGACTAGGTTTATAATAGGCATAATTAGGTCTAAGATAGTGTTTACAGGCTAAGAGAAGCAATCTAACCCTAAGAATATCTAGCCTAGTAATTAGAAGTAGGTTACAATTATTATTAGTGTCTGTGCTGCTAGCTAGGCTATCCTACCCTTTATTATCTTCTAAGGCAAGGTCCTAATTACAACCTAGTACCCTAATCTACCTTATAATTAGGTAATTATAACTAGCAAGAATAGCTAGATAATAAACAAGCTTAGTCTAGAGTAGTTAAAGCACTTTAACACGTCTATAAAAGAGTGTACTATTAGCACCTACTATCTACTTATTATTAATAGCTACAAGAGCCACAACGCTATAGAGTTTAAGGAATACTATGCAGAATATAAGATTATTACCTTATGTATACCTCTACACCTATTACACCTATTGCAGCTGCTTAATATAGCCTATTTTAGCCCCTTAAAGAGGGCGTACTTAATTAAGGTTAACACCTAGTTACAATACTTAAAGATATAAATTAAGAAAGAGTTCTTCCTTACTAGCTTCTAGACAGCCTATTATAAGGCTATTACAAAAGATAATATCTACAGAGGCTTTAGAGGCGTAGGACTAGTTCCTTTTAACCTAGAGCGAGTGCTATTAAAGCTTAATGTGGTCCTTCGCACGCCAACACTACCACTACTAGAGACTACCCTATAGGAATCTAAAACACTAACTAGCGCAAAGGAGGTTAAGTTATAAACATTGTATATCTGTAAGCATATGTGATTGCATAGAGATTTGCCCCTGTCTCCTATTATAAAATTACTTAACTTGCTTGCTAGAGGGGTTGCGTGGATAGACTATGCCAACGTGTTACAGAGAAGGGAAATAGATAGCATAAAGAAGGCTATTAAGGCTCTAACAGCGCAGTGTGGTTGTAAAAGAAAGTATATCTAGACAGAGGAGGCTCTCATAGTTAGTAAGGTACAGGATATAATAGCTAAGAAGGATAGTAGTGGTAGTAAGGCATCTAAATAGTCTAGGAAGAAGGTGCGCAAAGAGAGGCACTGCAGACATTGCGGCAAGACTAGCTACAATTTGCGCACCTACAGTGCAGAAATATTAGATATAGATAATAGCGCTGCTTCTAAAGAGTAATTATAGCAATTATAAGTATTAGTGTAGTATTATAGTTAAGCGTAATAGTTGTGTAATAGTTAGTGACTCTAAAAAAGTTGGTGAGGGGTGGTGGTTTAGTGATACCTGGCGGCTTGGTGATAAACCACGTTAGCCTTTAAATTAGTGTTTAGTAAGGCGTTCACTAGAGAGAACATTCGCGCAGGCTTTAGAGGTGCTAGGCTAGTCCCACACAACCTAGAGGTGGTGTTATTAAAGCTTAATGTGCGCCTGCGCACGCCAACGCCACCAAAACCTAGCAATAATGCCTAGGAGCTAAAGACACCACACACTGCTTATAAAGTAGAGGAGTAGTTAACTCTAATTTAAAAGCAGATTTAAATCTATTAAGGGTCTCTAGCAAGTTTATTAGATAAGTAGGTTAAATAGTTAGTAAAGGGTGCTTAGTAGATAGCTTATAATATAGTGTTAATGTAGGAGGAAATAGGCCACCTTTAAGACGCTATAGAAGTGTCTACAAAGCACAAGACCTATAAGTAATAATATATATGCGCAGAGGAGACTCTTATAGTTAGCAAAGTAGCTAACTTAATTACTAAAAAGGAGGGTAGGGGTTATAGTAAGGGTAAGACACCTATAAAGAGGGTGCGTGTTAGACAACACTATAGGCATTATAGTAAGATTAGATATAATTCCTACACTTGTAAGGTAGAAATAGAGGATATAGATAATAGTAAAGCTTCTAAATAATACTATCTAGGCCTGTAAATAATTATTTATTTGTGTTGTATTGTGATATAGCGCTGCGCAGGCGTTCTGTTGTTGAAAGTGCGGCGCTTGGTTGGGTGCGGCGCTCGCTTGTGAAACACGTTACTACTAAGTCTCCTCTTTAAAATTAGCTATTAAATAACATTATAGGCCTAGTAATAGAATAGTTATTAAGTGTAACCTAAACTATCACCGAGTGTCCCACATCACCGAGTGTCCCAAAACTTGCCAAGCCCTCTACCTACTCTCTCTCTCTAACATGCCTCAACTACCAAACGCGTTATTACTTGAACATGAAGGGAGGCTTTAGCTTGCTATTAAAGCCTTGAAATCTAGACAATTCTAAAGCCACCAGGCTGCTGCAGAGGCATTTAACATTAATTGCTGTACACTCTCTTATTGCGTCTAAGGACTCACATTTCGCGCAGAAGCTGCCCCTAACTGCTAGAAGCTTACTGCGACTGAACAGCAGACGATCATCCAATACATACTTAACCTTAACTTGCAAGGATTTGCGCCCCAGCTGTGCAAGGTGGCAGATATGGCTAATAAACTGCTGGCTGTACGCGGTGGCAAGCCTATTAGCAAGTGCTGGGCTGATTGCTTTGTAACGCGCTCGCCTGAGCTTAAAATAGCCTTTAATTAAGCAAAGGATAGGCAGAGAATACTCTAGGAGGATCTAGAGATAATTAGCGCGTGGTTTAAGCTAGTAGAGGAGACTAAAGCTAAGTATAGCGTCTATAATAACAACATACACAACTTTAATAAGACTAGCTTCTAGATAGGTGTAATTAGCTCTATAAAGGTCATCACAGGTGCAGAGAGACGCGCCCAACCTGCGCTTGTTCAGCCAGGCGATCACAAGTGGGTTACAGTTATCTAGAGCATCTGCGCTGCTGGGTACACGACCCTGCCCTTTATTATCTACAAGGGACGCGTCCACATCTCTGCCTAGTACAAGGAGGCTTTAATACTGCGTAATTAGAAGCTCTTAGTCTCTAAGAACAGCTAGATAAACAACGCGCTTAGTCTAGAGTAGTTAAAGCACTTTAACGCGCATACAAAGACGCGCTAGGTAGGGGGGTACTAGCTGCTTATTTTAGACAGCTATAAGAGCCACCTTAACCAGCATTTCAAGGACTACTGCCTTAAACACAAGATCCTAACCCTCTGTATGCCCCCCCATTTATCGCACATCCTCCAGCCGCTTGATGTGGTCTGCTTCTCGCTACTGAAGCGCAGGTACTCCCAGCGCGTCAGAGACTTGGCACGCCAACGCGTCTTCTATATTAACAAAGAAGGCTTCCTCCCTGCCTTTAAGGACGCGTTTTTTAATGTGTTTATAGAGCAGAACTGTTAAAAGGCTTTTAAGGCAGCAGGGCTAGTCCTAATTAACACACAGGTTGTATTAGATTGCCTTAAAGTGCAGCTGCGTACCCCACTAGAACCCCTCCTCCTAGAGACGCTATGGCAGTCAAAGACTCTAAGCAATACCTATAAGTTTAGATCTTAATTAAAGCTTGTACGCAATTCCTTTACTTGCTTACCTGTTACAGCTTAGGCTGGTTTCTCCTAGCTTATAAAAGGTGGTGAGCTGATGCTGCATAAAAATGCGCTTTAACGTGCTCGGATCTATAAGCTTGAAGAGCAATTAGTAGAGATGACCAAGCGAAAATCGCGTAAGCGCAAGCGGATTCAGCAGGGTGGTACTATGGAGTATGGGACTGCTGCAGCGCAGGTAGCTGCTGAGGCATCTATAGCGCCTCAGCGATCCAAGAAGGCTTGTGGTGGTAGTGGTCAAGAACTAGCCTAACCAGCTCTTCAGCGCTATAGGAACTATGGTAGGACTAGGCATAATGCGCGAACGTGCAAAAAGGATACAGAGGTGTCCTTAGAATTAGATGCTAGTACAACGTACGCAGGCTCCCTGTTTAATAGCAATGAAATTAAGGAGTTGTAGCATAGGTTGAGGCTGCCAAGAGATTTTGGGACACTTGGTGATGTGGGACACTCGGTGATAGTTTAGGTTAGAAGGTTTTAAGCTTAATGTTACTTGCTAAGACACTAAGTTAAGATTCTTTACTAGGGCTCTAGCAGCCTAAATATTAGAAAATACAAGAATATTATTCAAGAATAGTAGGTAAACTAAGAATTTTACGCCTAGGCCTGCCTGCACTGCGAGCTGCTATTGCGCTGCTGTTTTGTGTGTGTGTGTGTGTTCGTTAGCAGGTGCTGTGATGTGTGCTGTTGCAGCTGCTACATTGTGTGCTGGCGCAGCTGCAGCTGCTATGGTGTGCTGTCGCAACTTCAAAACACAAACCTTTAACAAACAAACCTTCAACGCTCTATAACTCGCGTTGCAGTAGGCCTACAATAATAATTTTTTGCTTATTTTAAAGCTATAAATTTGCTCTATCTGTACGTGAAATTTCGCAATTTTTGAATATTAAATGCTAGTGCTAGCACTGCTAGCAGAACTGAGGGTAGCCATGCAACAACGTTGCAACGTCGTTTCAAGTTTATTGAATATAGGCACTCAGCGTTTTGGCTGTTAGCAACATTGGCGCGAAATTAGGGCTGTTGGGCGCAAATTAGGGCTGTTGGGGCCGTTGAGCGGCTGTTGCACGACCATGCCACAACTGTCAGCAACAGCCAGTCTGGGCCAGATTTCGAAAAACTTTTCCCGATGTAGGATCTTGTGTTTAAGGCAGTAGTCCTTAAAATGCTAGTTAAGGTAGCTCTTATAGCTGTCTAAAATAAGCAGCTAGTACCCCCCTACCTAGCGCGTCTTTGTATGCGCGTTAAAGTGCTTTAACTACTCTAGACTAAGCGTGTTGTTTGTCTAGCTGTTCTAAGATACTAAGAGCTTCTAATTACGCAGTATTAAAGCCTCCTTGTACTAGGCAGAGATGTGGACGCGTCCCTTGTAGATAATAAAGGGCAGGGTCGCGTACCTAGCAGCGCAGATGCTCTAGATAACTATAACCTACTTGCAATTGCCTGGCTAAACAAGCGCAGGTTGGGCACGTCTCTCTGCACCTGTGACAACCTTTATAGAGCTAATTACACCTATCTAGAAGCTAGTCTTATTAAAGTTGTGCATGTTGTTATTATAGACACTACACTTAGCTTTAGTCTCCTCTACTAGCTTAAACCACGCGCTAATTATCTCTAGATCCTCCTAGAGTATTCTCTGCCTATCCTTTGCTTAATTAAAGGCTATTTTAAGCTTAGGCAAGCGCGTTACAAAGCAATCAGCCCAGCACTTGCTAATAGGCTTGCCACTGCGTACAGCCAGCAGTTTATCAGCTATATCTGCCACCTTGCACAGCTAGGGCGCAAATCCTCGCAAGTTAAGGTTACGTATGTATTAGATAATTGTCTGCTGTTTAGTCGCAGTAAGCTTCTAGTAGTTAGGGGCAGCTTCTGCGCGAAATGTGAGTCCTTAGACGTAACAAGAGAGTGTACAGCAATTAATGTTAAATGCCTCTGCAGCAGCCTAGTGGCTTTAGAATTGTCTAGATTTCAAGGCTTTAATAGCAAGCTAAAGCCTCCCTTTATGTTTAAGTAATAACGTGTTTAGTAGTTGAGGCATGTTAGAGAGAGAGAGTAGGTAGAGGGCTTGGCAAGTTTTGGGACACTCGGTGATGTGGGACACTCGGTGATAGTTTAGGTTATAGCAATAGCTCTCTAACGTGAGTGCATAGCGAGTGCGCCGGATAAGCGAGCGCGCCACCCCAACAAGCCATTGGGGCTCTTCCACCTCAAACCTCAATGTCTCAACAACCTAATTTTGAACTGCTTTTAAAAGAGGAGAGGATTAAGCTTGCCCTTTAAGTAATTAAAGAGCTATAAAAATTAAGTATGCAATATACAGCTGTTGTCTACAACATATCCTAAAGGTTAATTAACTATTAATGTGCTAGGACATAGTTAATATGCAATACGTACCCTAAATTAGCAAACCTATAAGAGACAGAAGAGAGGACGCTTGTGCAGTATATTAGGAAGCTAGATTCCTAAGGATTTGCCCTAACACTTTATTGTGTTAAAGATATAGCTAATTAACTGCGCGTTGCACGCAGCGCAAAGCCTGTTAGCCTATAATAGGCTTTAAACTTTGTTAAACGCAAACCTAGACTTAAATTGCATATAACTTAATAGAGGGATTGCTAGAGAGTCTTGTGTAGTAATCTAGAGGTTATTAGGCCTTAGTTTAACCTTGTACACAATGTTAAGGCTAAGTACAGTATCCTAGATAAAGATACCTACAACTTTAACAAGACTAGCTTTACTATAGGCATTAGAAACTGTGTTAAAGTAGTCACTGCATTAGAGAGATGTAC